ATTATTCTATGATTCTATGAAAAGCATGAGTGGCGTGGAGAGGGTGCATAAAGAAAAGTTCTTCGGGGCTGGACTCGATGACCTCTTGAGGTCCCTTCCAGTCCTATGATTCTATGATTCTATAACTACACCCGATGCCATGATACGGGCTGCAGAGTCAACAACATCCAGGGAAGCCTGAAGAGCCGTGCAGGTGATAGTTCTTCCCTCTATGGTCATAGCCCCAAACTCTTGACGCGCCTCAGCGGGGAGCTCATCTTTGAACTTATCCATCGCCTGCCATGTGTTATATGCATATTGACTCAGCATTACCTGCTAGTTAGCAATACGGAGTTGCACCCCACCGGTGGCATACACCTTATGCCCCATTAAATTGAGGCGTTTGGGCTCCCTAGCCTTTGGGGATGGCCCCAGCCGTGGAAGCCTCTACTTCTGGGCCACGGCTTGGACGACCAAGGACCCCAGGACAGGGGTGGACACCGTGGACGGGGCACAGGCCCTTGCCACTGACGGTATGCCCACAGCTTCCAAAAAGGCCAGTGCGGCTGGGGTGGCTAAGTCTGTTGCACGTGCGAATGATCACGCCGGTGCCGGGAACGGGATCTATGCTGTGACAAAGCCCTCGAAGATCCCAATCTGAAAGAGCCCACATCTGAATCAGAAGACTAATCAGACTCAGGCCAGGGTGGCACCGATGACGAGTACCCCGTCACCATCGGGGGGGCCAACCTGGCCATGGATTCTGGCTTGCTCGCATGTGTGAGGTGAGGTCGTACCAGTGCTGGTACCGGAAAGACGGGCTTCGGGCCCAACTGTGGCATCGACACGTTGCACATGGACTGCAGTGCCAAGGTCGGTGCCGGTTGCGGGCATTGAACTGTGGAGTCCAACTGCCCCAGAGATGGCACCCCTATCAGTGCCACCGTGGGTGCCATGGTGAGTAGGACTGAAGGTACCAGAGCCATGGTGGCCGCCCTAGAAGGGATCGGTATCACTGGCAATGGTGGTACCAGCATGGCCCCCGGGGCCGATGTCGGTACTTGCAGCAGTGCCGAAACTTGCAGTGGTGCCAAAGATGCTGGTGTCGATGACTGTACCAGCACCCCGAGCAAAAGGCCCGATGCCAGTACTGCTGACGGTGCCATTGTCGGTGCCACAAGACGTGAGTAATACGGCACCGGCGCAGCTAAGACCGGTTCCGGGAGAGGTCCCAGCACTGAGGGCGGTCGAGTCCAGCTGAGCAGTGGGTGAGGCCTGGCAACCTGTGCCGAGACTGACAACGACGTAGAGGCAAGCGGTACTAGTCCCACAGGGGACAGTCCCGCTGCATACGTGACCAGTGCCGACCGATCCAGCTGGTACGGCGGAGAAACCGGTGCCAACATGGCTCCCGGCGTAGAAGACCTCAACCTCTCTGCCTCAACAGACGATGGAGGGGAGGTAGTGAGGCTAATCAAGTCCTGCACTGCCTCAAAAGTGTCCAGCGTCGAGGGACGATGCGAGGGTAGCTGACCCAGACTGGATGGTCGGCCTGCTCGTTTCCGCTGCACAGCAGCACTTGGAGACGCCTGCACCGGGGACTCGAAGCAATGGTGTAGTCCCGACCTGGACTTCCAGCTCGGAGAACTACCCCGCAAAGTCTTTAGTTTCTTCAGTGCCGAGGAGCGAGAACAGTGCTGAGCCCTCGGTATTGAAGTCCGCGTACGGGATGGGCCTTCCCTCGCCTTGGCATCCCCGCTGGCTTGGGGTCTCAGATTGACGCTGATCAGGAGCTCCCTTCGTGGACCCTTCTCTGGCTGCCCAAACTGAGCCCTTCCCCAGGCTTTTATAGCTGAGCTGTAGTCTTGGCATGCCCAGTAGGATTGTAGGGGAAGGGCCTCTGCGGCCAGGTAACCCTGGCTAGGCATGAAACTTCAGGGCGGGGCTGCTTCGCCCCATCACAGGGGGTCATAACAGTGGTCGTAGTACTGATTGGATGGATGAGGTGATAAGTACCTGGATGATCTGCTGCTTGCATGTCGCCTATTGTAACTGGCATGTAGAGAAGGAGAGTAGTATGGAGACCGCCTGTGTGGCAGGGAACAGGATCAATGTCTGTAATGATCACTATAATGAGAGTGGGATCTATATGGCGAATAGTGCCTGCAGTAGTAGTGATGTCTTGGGCTGTTCTGTTGGTAGACATGGTGAAGTTAAGGGGATGTGGATTGGTTAAATGGACGGTAAGATGGATAGAAAGATGGTTAGAAGGCCGGGCCCAGCGGGTAGTGATCAACGGCTCGATGTCAGGATGGCGGTCGGTTTTTAGCGGAGTGCCCCAAGGTTCGGTTCTAGGACGGGTTTTGTTCAATATCTTTATTAATGACCTGGATGAGGGGATGGATTGCACCCTCAGCAAGTTTGCGGATGACACTAAGCTGGGGGGAGAGGTAGATACTCTTAAGGGCAGAGATAGGGTCCAGAATGACTTAGACAAATTGGAGGATTGGGCCACAAGAAATCTGATGAGGTTCAACAAGGACAAGTGTAGAGTCCTGCGCTTGGGATGGAAGAATCCCAAGCATAGTTACAAGCTGGGGACCAACCAGTTAAGTAGTAGTTCTGCAGAAAAAGACCTGGGGGTTACAGTGGATGAGAAGCTAGATATGAGTCAACAGTGTGCCCTTGTAGCCAAGAAGGCTAATGGCATATTAGGTTGCATTAAGAGGAGCATTGCCAGCAGATCCAGAGATGTCATTATTCCCCTTTATTTGGCTTTGGTGAGGCCACATCTGGAGTATTATGTCCAGTTCTGGGGACCACACTACAAAAAGTATGTGGACGCATTGGAGAGGGTCCAGCGGAGGGCAACCAAAATGATTAGGGGGCTGGAGAATATGACTTATGAGGAGAAGCTGAGGGTCTTGGGTCTGTTTAGTCTGCAGAAGCAAAGAGTGAGGGGGGATTTGATAGCAGCCTTCAACGTCCTGAAGGGAGGTTCCAAAAAGGATGGAGAGAGGCTGGTTTCAGTAGTGACAGATGGCAGAACAAGGAGCAATGGTCTCAAGTTGTGGTGGGAGAGATCCAGGTTGGATATTAGGAAAAAGTATTTCACTAGGAGGGTGGTGAAGCACTGGAATGGGTTACCTAGGGAAGTAGTGGAATCTCCATCCCTAGAGGTGTTTAAGTCTCGGCTTGACAAAGCCCTGGCCGGGTTGATTTAGTTGGAATTGGTCCTGCCTAGAGCAGGGGGCTGGACTTGATGACCTTCTGAGGTCTCTTCCAGTTCTATGGTTCTATGATTCTATGAAGTGGTAAGCTGTATAGTAGAGGGGAGGGGTAGGGTCCCAGTGAAAATGTCGGAGACAGGGAACAGGGACTACCATGTCTCTGTACTTCTGAAGCTGTTTTCACCAGTGCCAATGCCTGCACCTGCACAGGTGCCAGCTCCTCCTCTGGTGCCAGCACTTGACTCGCTAGAGGCTCCGATGCCTCTGCCATTGCCGGAGCTGCCTGCACCGCAGGAGTGCTCTGCGGTGCTGACATCGGTGCTGGCCCACTTGCCGGCACCGGTGGAGTTTCTTTTCGTGACAACCCTGCCCAAGAGGGTAGCCATTGCTCCAGCGCCACCTGCGGGGTTGAAGGGAGTGGTGCTGGCGCTTTTGAAGTGCGGATGCCACTTGTCGGCACTGAAGCCGCTTTCGGTGCTGAGAAAGACCACTCAGACACCAAAGTCTTCTTTGTTTTTGTGCCTGGCCCTGGCGCTGAGGGTCATGGGGCAGAGCCAGATGTTCCTGCCTTATCTCCTGCGCTGATCCTCTCAGGCAGCAGCAATCTCGCAGGGGACGTCTTTTTTCTTTATATGAAGTTTGGTCAGGGGGAAGACTCTTCATTTCTGAGTCCCCCTAATTTGTCCCCCAGCCGTTGTGTTAGGGTCCAGCGCTTTATCAAATAGCAGCATTTTGAGGCACATTTCTCTGTCCCTGCGGGCGCAAGCTGTCATTTTGGAATAGTGCCCACATTTTGAGGGAATATGTGCTTCCCCAAAGCAGCGTATACACTCTGAATGCCCATTTGAGACTGGCATGGGCTTGCAGCAGAGAGTACACTTTTAGAAGCCAGGGGATCCAGGCATCGAGTTTAATGTGTTTCACTCCCTGTCAATTTCTCTCTCTCACACACACACACACACACACACACACACACACACAGGCTAAAGCCGCTAGCTGCTGACAAAGCCACAGCTTGAATAAGTTAATGATCCTCTTTTTTTTTTTTTTTTATTAATTAAGAAGAAAGGTTGATTGAAAAAAGGGATAACTATTTATAGCTAATTATTTACAGATTCCCTGAGGGGATTGAAAGAATGCTGAAGGGATAGGCGCTCCATCTGTGACCGAGGACGGTTCAGAGGAACTGAATAGGGAGCTGGGTGCGAGCGATGATCAAAGGGCGCGAACGGCACGAGCCATGGGTCACGACCCGGCTGAACACAGCTATTGAAAGTCTCTGAGCTGCGGTGCCAGGACAAGCCCCCACACCATCAGTGGAGCACCCACAGGGACCACTCGAAGAAGAACTACAACTTATCTCTACTGTGAATTTTTTTTTTTTTTTTTTTTTAAAGAGTAAGGAGCTCCTCTCATTCAATGACAGAAGAGCCTTGAGGGGAAGCAGTTTTCACTGGCTATTTGTATTTCATTTTTAGAGAAATCCATTCAATTAAATGAGTGCTACTTTCTCTGGCAAGATGCATTTTAATCTTTTATACTATGTTAAGGACATTTAGTTCATTTTCTTGCTTTTGGGATTTGAGTCCACAACCTTAATTACAGAACTGAGGGAGTGGGAAGAAAGCAGGTAGAGAAAGGAAAGGCAAATATTTCTGTGATAATTCTTACAAGTTGACAACTTTGTTAAAATAAGATATCCCAGAAGAACGTGTCATAACTTCTGACACTAGTTTCCCTTTATGCTAGAGTTTAGTTTGACTAGATTCATTTTTAAAAAGGATGTATTACCAGATGTGCACAAAGTATCTTCTGTAATTTGTGCGAGTCAATGTAACCCACAATGTACACAGCAAATAACGAGGCTGTCTGGAATTAAAAAGAGAATACTGAAGTAACTAAAAACTATACATTAATGCAGCATAAATAAACCACAGACATCCATGGGTCCTTTTAATGTTTAAAGGCTTATGAATTTCTGAAATTATTTTGAAAAATGGTGTTAATTTCAATAAGACTGTTTATAACCACCAATGAATACAAAAAAGATCATGCATGAAGTTTATGCAACTGTTAGGAACCAAACTCAGCTCTCTAAAGTTCCAGTCTACTGTCTTAATGAAGAGTGAACCCCTGTTGTCTATGCTTTAAATTTCTGGAAAAATGAGGGTCATCTCAGACTTTTTAAAAATAAAAAATTTCCTAGATTTTTACATTATTGGTAGTCTCCTACAACTAATTTTCTTGTTTACGGATATGAGACCCATCCACCCCAACCCAAATTGTTTTGTTCAAAAGAACACCTGCTATTCCAAAATACAGAAGCCCAAATGAGACGGGAGAAGAGAAGAAAAAAAGTTCCTGTATTCCAACTTAGGTTCATAAAGAAAAGAGAGAGAAGAGCATATTTGCTCTTCAAAAGTACAAGAAAAACTCAGCTGTGGAAATGCTTGTGGTGGGGGAGAGCCTCGGAAATAATTTTGCTAATTACTTCTGCATGTTATTTTCTTATCCAGTTATTCATTCATTTACCATCTTTTAATTTAAGAGTAAAGGATGTCTTGCACCCTCTCTCAGTAAGTATATCAGGTGCTTAGGGAGGCATGAGTGCTTTTTCTATGCCTCTCATTTTGCACCCCAACTTCTTCAGTAGATATCTAAAGCAGAAGGTTGTTTTCTGCAGACCCAAAGAGGGAAAATATTTCTGTTCCTAAAAGAAAAAAAAATAGCTGAAGAGACCAGAATGCATTGAAAGTCTCACACAGATTTTAAAAAAAAAACTTGACATGGGTTAGTAATTAATTTGTCATGTTCCCATATCCATTTATTTTGAAGAATGAGGTCAGTAATTGCAACAACCCTTGGAATCAGGCAATCAGAGCACTTGTGGTTACAAGCTACACAGAGTAATATTTTGCTGGGAAAGCTATATATGACCAATGCTTTGTTTTGTGAAACTTAAGCCCATACTTCTCCTTAGAGATAAATGCTTATACACCTCCTATTGACTGAAAAACTTCCTAAAAGCCCTGATTACAGAACTTTCTTAATTTGTGTTAATTAACATTTCAGGGATTACATTTTTCTCTCATTCAAATGCATAAAGATGAGGTGTTGCCCAGAGGTATATTTAACACATCTTTTAAAGTATATTATATACTCCTGGGAGAATTGTGCCACTGCATATGTTTCCCCTGCAGATTCCTTTGCTTCCCTGCAGAAAAAAATGCAGAAGCAAAGGGAAGCTGTAAGAGCTGTCACATGCTGCCATAGTTTCCAGTGCCCAAAGCAGGTGGCAGAGAGGTAAATCTCTATGGGCACTGGGGTGGGAATGCCCATGAGCATAGTTTAGGAGACCATAGTCCCCTCAGAGGCAAGGCATGGGGACATGCAGAGTCACATTCCACTGCCCTCGACCCCTTACTTTCTATGATCCCAGTGTTATCCAGGTGAAGGAGAATTCTGCTATGGCTAGCTGCAGTGGAATGCCATCTCCTGAGCCCTAATTCCAGTCCTGTTCCTCTTCTATGTGCTGGAAGCCATTCTGTTTTCCATACAATGGTGAGTGGTTGCATTGGGGCAGAACAAGAGGGATGGATTGGGTCAGAAGAAATGAGAGAAGGTGGGAAGCAGCAGTGGAGAAGAAAGGAGAATGAGGGAGGGGAAAAGTGGAAATGAGAGGAGCTGGATAGTGGCAGTTGTCAGGGAGTTGAGTAAGGAGGAGGGGACAAGGCAGGAGGATAGAGGGGTCAAGAAGAGCCCAGCAGGTGGCATTCCCTCAGCAGCAGTAGTCAGGTCTCCCGCATCAAACTCCCCAAACCAACAAGTCCTACCCTTTCTGCACCTCCACCTCAAACTCCACTTCCCTACTATCCAGACCCTCTCCCTACTTTGTGGCTGCTGCCCCTGTCCGTGGGGGTTCTGAGCTCCCTGTGGACACAGACTGCTCTGCATCCCATGCTGGTGCCTCTGGTCAGTGAGGGGAGCTGGTATTTAAACTCGCTCCCCTCACGGACCGGTTCTGCCAGCTACCGCGTGCTGCTACCTTTGATACAGAGTCAGCAGGATGGTGTGACAGGGGGCGTTCCCGGAACTGTGGCCAGAGTGCACTGGCTATCAGCCCTTCCTCCAGGGACCTAGAATTTCATGCGGTTGCACAACCATTCAATTACACAATATCTAATATTCCTATTACACAGTTGTCTAAATATGCACGGTATATAGAGTACCGCTATAAAGCTTGAACTTATTATTCTGAAGCTTCATACACACTGTGCTATCATCCTGTGTACAGGAACAGAGGAATGTTTAATATATCCATGAATATTTTGGTGATATTCAATATAAAGTGTCTTACTTGTGTCAGAAGGACAAACTGAGCAAACTGCCAGGGAAGCATGAAAAAGACATTAGAAACACACAGTGCAATCAAGCTTCCTCTATTAATATTCGGAGTCCTTAGGAAAAAAGAAATAGAATAGATACCATTAAGTTAAACTATAATAGGTCACGGCATGTCATCCAAAAAAGCAACAGAGAATAATGTCAAAAAATTAAAGTATTAACTAGACTTGCAATGTAAATTGACATCTGTGAAAAGTACAGTAGTATATTTTGTACTAATTGCAAAACTATATAAAAAAAATTTCATCTTTATTATTTCATAGCTCACTTTTTGGAATAAAAGTAGAAATTCAAGTAAACAATCTCAAAACTTTAACATTTGGTTTAGACATTTTTTCAGGCTTTATGAAGTGATCCAACTTTTCTGATTTCTCTGAAGTTCCCTCATTCTCATTGATATGACAGACAGAATGATGCATTACTCTAGTGACAACATTTCTAGTACAATGTTAAAAAACACAGGGGATATCAACAGTATGTACTGACCAAAGTTCAGAATTTGACCTCATCCCACGTATTATTTAATCTCTACAGCCCTGCATGGATAAAAAAATTGGTATCCACATCTTCAAAAATGATCTGCAGCTATCCACATCTGTGGATACGGACACCCTTGGATATAAAGCAGAAATCTGCAGGATTTGTAGGGGTCCATTAAACTCCACTCATTCCTAAGGTGGAGTGAAAATATGCCAACTATTTCAGAGTATATAGGGCTCTGTCTTCAAAGTTCACTGACCTCCCAAAAAGGCATATCTACAGGAAGGGGAATAGAAGCTTTCTTGCTAATTTGTAACACTTGAAAAAATTGAGGCAGCCACCTCTGAAGTTCAATAACCTCCAAGAATGGATGTAAAGGGGACGCTCTGGCGCCCCGCTACGGAGCCGTGCTGTCCCCAGCACTATGGGGAGAGAGATGGCTCTCCTGCTGCATCCCTGGCTCTGCCACGTCTGTGCCAGGGCTGTGCAGGGCAGAGTGTCGGAGGTTCCGCCCCCCTACGTGCGGGAAGTGGCATCGGTGGGCGGCGCCGGGGGCAGAGGGAGGGGGAGAAGGAGTGGCGCCAACATGGGGAAGACGGGGAACAGGCCGTCTGCATCTGCCCGTCTTGGACGCGCCCATGCAGTAGCGGCTGGGGGGTGGGCAGCCGCCCCACCCCTCCTCCGTCAGACGCTGAACTGGCAGGACGATTCAAAAGGATGTCACCGGAGGGAGGAGAGGGAGCGGAGAAAAAGGCTCCCGAGGACGCTGGACTGTTCTACGGCTGGGGAGTAGACGGCTGACTGAGGGAGGTAGGAAGTTACCCAGGGCATGGCAGAGGATGCCCGTGGGTTGGTGCGTTATGGGTAGTTACCCCCACCAACCAAACCGTAGAAGAGAGATTCCTTCAGATCTTAGGGCCCTGGGCCGGGGCTCAGAGTGGGGGTGGGCCTGAGCCCCAGGCCCTCTTTCACCTTGGGGATCAAAACATAGCAAGTAGAAACCTTTGTTCTCGAACTCCAGCAGTATCCTCTCCACTGCTCCCACCTGGAGCAACTGGGATAGCTCCTGTTCACAAGAAGCTGCTCATGAGAAGGGTTCCTGAAGGAGGATAGGGCAGAGGGTGGTGTGGAGGAGAACTGGAGGGTGTAGTAACACTGGACAGTGGATAGGACCCAACAGTCCAAAGTAATGTCCCTCCATGCCAGGAGGAATGGATGGAGCCTGAAGGAGAACAGGTGGGCAAGATCTTAGGAGTCGTCGTCCCCAGGTACAACCTCAAAAGGAACATTTGATATGGGATTTCACCTGGCTGATTGATTGTTGGCCACACAGAGGATGACGGCCTTGGCCTCTCCACTTGGAGAGTTTTTGGTGTGAACAGGCTGCTGGTGGGGTTATTGGCCCTTTTGTTGGGAGGATTGGGGCTTAAACCTCTTCCTCTCAGACTCCGGGAAGTAGGGACCTAGGGTTTTCAAAATCATATAGGAGTCCTTTAGCCTGTGAAACTTCGTGTCCATCTCTTCTGCAAATAGGGCTCCTTTGTCAAAGGAGAGGACCTGGATGGAGTTTGTCGCCTCCAGAGAAAGACCCAAAAGAAGAAGTCAGGCCGTACACCTCGTAGAGATGACAGAAGCCATAGAGCAAGCTGACGAATCCACAGCATCAGACGCCGCCTGCAAGGCCACCAGCACCATGGAGGACCCCTTCTCGATCAGGGCCTTAATAGTCCTATGGGAGGCTTCATGTGAGGAGATCTCAAATCTGGCTAGTGCCTGCCAGTTATTTACTTCATACTTGGCAAACAAAGCTTGATGATTCACCACCCTTAACTGAAAACTGGCTGAAGAATAAATCTTTCTACCAAACATGCCCAAGTCTTTAGCGTCTTTATTGTTGGGGTTGGGGGCTGGCTGGCCCTGGCACTTCCTGTGGTTGACCAAATGCACCACAAGGGAGTTGGGTAAGTGTAAAGGTAGTCATGGTTCCCCCCGGGACAAAGTACTTGCATTCAGCCCTTTTGGCTATAAGTGGGATGGAGGAATGGGTGTGCCATAGAGTCTTGGCAATCTTGGTGACCGCCTCATGCAGGAGTGAGGCCACCTTGCCAGGTCCAGCTTGAACCAGGACCCTGAACAAATCTGAGGTCTCTTGCACCTTCTCAGCCTGGAGGCCCAAACCATTAGTCACCCTCCTCAGGGGGTCCTGGTGGGCTCTCGAGCCATCCTGGGGCACCGCTGGGTGAGACGCCACAATTGCCTCATCTGGTGATGAAGGAGGCAGCAGCCTGGGCCGGCTGGCCTTCCTCAAAAGGTGCGGATTGACCATTCACCCCTGCTGTCTGCTGCGGGGGGAACTGGATCTCCTGTATCCTGTTGAGGCCCATGAGACCGTGGCAGCAATAAGGGGGCTTGGGATGTGCTTGCAACCAAGTGGTTACGTTGGGGCTGTACCAAAAAGCCCCAAGAGGTCCATAGGCACCATTGCGCCTGCCATGAGACGGTGGCCATGGCATGCCCTGGGATGGCACAAGTACTGGACTGAGCTGGGCTACCTGCCTGCCCAGATCCTACTAAATTTGGTCCTGGATCCAGTGTGAGCATGGACTGAGCTGGGCAGCTCTGCATTTAAAAGCAATAGGAGCTGACGGGCAGGCAGACCAGCTCATGCCAAGTCCAGGACCAAACCCAGCTGCAGCTCTGAAATTTAAAACACTGTAGGAACTGAGGGGGAGGCAGGCTGCCTAGCTCCTACAGCATTTGAAATTGCAAAGCTGAAGCGGGATATGGTCCCAGTGTGAGCCAGGACTGAGCTGGGCTGCATTCCCAGCAGGCAGCCGCCTCTGTACATGGACAGTTCCAACACCCCACCGGGACTTCCCTGCAGACAGGGACTGCTGTCAGAGCAGCCTCCCCTATTTCCCCCTCCCATGCTTCTGCATCTGCAGCAGGGGGGTGGGAGGGCAGGCAGCACCACGAAGATGGTACTGGAAGGAACCGGCTTTTAAGCTGGCTGCCCTCAGCACCAGCTCCTGTTTCTCCCCACCTTGTTGCCTCTGCTATAGAGGCAGTGGGGGGTGGGGGGAATGCAAGTAGTCAAGTTGACTAGGCTTATCAGGTAGTCAGCTAGTTGACTACTCTCTTACATGTGGCAGGCACATGCACCTGTGTTGAATGGACATGAGCAAGCTACTCGAAGAAGAAACATTGGCTTTGGCAACAACTCAGTAAAATATACTTCTATCTTAAAGATTTAGAAAATTGTCCAGTTATATCTTGGATAGTTTCACAGTTAAACCCTCAGTCTTATTAGAACAAGCTTAGGTTTGTAAATAAAAGAGGAGCTCATCTTCAGCTGCAGAGAGAGTCCAAAAGAAAAAGCGCTATCACTATCCACCACCATCACTACTCATTAAACAGGAAAACACTTTGACCTGGGTGAGTTGCACACTACTATTCAATGGGAGAATCATGACACCAGAGTAAGAATCCTCTGCTTCTTTAAAGAAAAAAGTTAGCTACATACCTTCTCAGTAACTGCTATTCTTCAAGATGTCCATTCCACTTTAGATGTGTTCACACCAGTAAACTAGAATCAACAAACTTTTTCCACAGCATTACCCATTGTGGTAACATACGTGCACTTCATATGCTTGTGCTGCTTGCTGAGATATAGGGACAGGCCAACCCTAAACTCCCATCACACTTAACTCCCTAAACTTCTTCACACTGGTAGCCAATATGTGCAGTGACCGCAATGTACAAGGGAAGGAGGGTGGTTGGTGGCATGGATATGCACATCTCACAGAACAAAATTTATTGAACAGGTATCTGTGCATAGAACTTTTCTTCAATTCACTACATATGTCCATTACACTTTAGGTGATTCATAGCAGTTCCTCAGAGGAGAGTATCAATAGACTCAAACAAGGACTGTAATGCTACCTTCCTGAACTTAGTATAGTCTCTAGAGCACTGCAAGACACTAATGGTAGTTGAACATATGGACTGAAAACTAATTGTGGACGACCAAAGCAAATGCGCACAGGGGAATATAAATATCTCTGCAGATATCAGAAACATGAACATTAGAGAGAAAACTTGCTGAAGCAGTTTGCACCCTTGTATAGAAAGCTCATTCTCTGTGAGGAAGAAATACCTTAGCAATCTTGCGGCATAAAACAAATACAGGTGAAAAACCAAGAGGAGATCATTTGGGAAGTAACTGGTTTCTTTCAATTGTTTGTTTCACTTGCTGATTAAATGAGAAGATACACTCTAGTTCTGTCCACAAGTAAAAAACTAACATTTCTTGAATATATGTAGCCTCTTCATCTTTGCAAGTGGGGTTCTGGATAGACAGTTGGCAAATAAATAGTCTGATCCACATGAACATCCAATTTGTTTTGAAAGAAAAATATGGAGCAAAGATAAATGCCAGTATGTCCTTATAAAACATGGTGTACAAAGGGTCCATCCTAAGAGCTTGGAGATCCATAATCTTTGTAGCGTAGGTAATAACTACTAAAACACAACTTTCACTGACAGGAGACTCACAAACTAGGTGGCAATGGGT